ACTAATGTGTATTTGCTCCAAGAATCTCAATGGGTTCTATAGTCCCAAAAATTACAGAAAGAGGTTACCTCAAGTCTGCATTTCACTTAGTTTTTGTTTTATTTTGTTTGTTTTTTTCCAAAAGCCAAATACAGGAGGGAGAAAACTGGATTTGTAAGAGAAAGACCTGGTTTCAAGTCTTAGCTCTGCCATGTGAAACCAGAGCTTCAGTGTAAATTGCTGAAGAACCCTTTACAGGATTGCATGAATGTAGATAATGAGTATGAATGTGTTGTAACACTTCAAATATGAGATCATCCTTGTGGATAAATTCCAATTTTCACATAAGACAAGACAGTTTTCTTGCTTCTCCTTTCCAGTTCCTCCTCCTGCAGGCTGACCCATGAGTGTTGGAGTTGGGAGGCTGCAGAGTGCTGCCTCAATATTCTCTCCCACTACCTAGGAAACACTCTGTAGGTGATCATATCTGATTCTATAACCTATATATGGCAATCTCAAAGCCTCTCACTGGAATTCCAGAGCCATTTCCCAACAAGATATCACACTTAATGTCCTGCAAGTATCTCAAATTCAGTTCAAAATGCAACTTGCTGTCTTTCTTCTATCCTTAACACCATGAGGTCCTCTTGGTGAATAGTACCATAAACCATTCTCTCTCATCCTCCCTATAAACTTTGAGTCATCATAATAGAAGTAACATTTATTGAGAACTTACTGTCAGGCACTGTGCTATGTATTTTATATACATTTTCTGGTTTAAGCACTAGAACAGCCATATGAGATTATACATTCATTCATTAGCAGCTTTATTTCATAGAGAGGGAAAGTGAGGTCTTTTTTAGCAGGGGAGGGTACCGGGGATTGAACTGAGGGGCACTCGACCACTGAGCTACATCCCCAGCCCTATTTTGTATTTTATTTAGAGACATGGTCTCACTGAGTTGCTTAGCACCTTGCTTTTGCTGTGTCTGGCTTTGAACTTGCAATCCTCCTATCTCAGCCTACCAAGCCACTGGGATTACAGGCATGCACCACTGTGCCTGGCAGGAAAGTGAGTTTTTGAGTGATATTGAATATCCTCTCATGGAGACTGGGGCCGTATTACTTCAGAGTCTAGCTTGTTCACATCTTCATTTCACATCCAACTGACTGGTCATCAAAACCTCTTAAATTTTGCCTGGAAAATAAACATCTCAATTCTAGCCAGCCCTTCCTTTCTGTTGCTACTGCCAATTACTTAGTCTTGACTTTCAGTATCTGTTACTCAGAATTATTATTTTAATTAGCAATTAGTTGCAATACACTTACTATGCATGAGGCATTGTCTTAAGCACTTTATAAATATTAACTTTTAATTCTCCTAGAAACTCCATGAGGTGGACTTTTATTATCTCTGATTTATAGATGGGGAAATAAGTAACCTTCTCAAGATCACATAGCTAATAAATGATGAAGTTGGGACTTGAGCCCAAGACCCTGGCTCGGGCTGTGATCTTAACGAAAACATCATGGTGTCCCTTCAATGTCATTATATAGGATCCTTGGTGTCTTCCCTACAACCAGCCCTCTACCCAGCCTCAATTCTAGAATCTGTTTTATGAAAGTGTAACTTGGTACCTTTCTCCTACTTATAGCCTCATTGGTTTTCTCTTCTTGGACCCTGTCTTCTTCAGTAGAGCCTTTTATGATCCAGGTGTGAAGGAACATCTGGTCTTCTTTCCCATTGTGCACTCCACCAATCTCTGCTCTTCTCTGTGTCCTTTCCTGCCTCCTATCCCCTCTGAAAGAAGTCCACTCACCCTTCAAGACTCAAATGTCATCTCCTCTTAAGGGGATACATTCCTTTGTTTTAAGAACTTATTGCACTACATTTATTAAAATTTCAACCTTCTCCTCGGCACACCATCTCACCCTGCAGCCCCACACCTCAAACAGTGCTCCAGAGCCGAGACCTGTCATAGGTATCATTTCAGCACTTGCAGTAGTTCTCAGGACATAGTGGGTACAAAGTCCATAATTGCTGGATGACACATAATGCCTATATGATTTGTCCAGAACCTCCAAGAAAGATATTGGAATACTAGTGCTCTGAAATTGTAATGTGAGTAGAGTAGATGTAAGTAGTTTTAAAAAACGTAAGGAAAAGATTAAAAGCTTGCATTATTTTTATGGACAAATCAAAGTTCAATGCAGATACACACAACTGGAGAAAATAATTAGAGCCATCCTTTGGGGGAGTTTTCTTGTTTGACATTCACTACATGACCGCAGCACGCCGCCTGGTAGCAAGAGCACACACGTGACTTCCCCACCTTCCTGGGGCTTATGTTTCTGGGGAGAGTAGAACATCTGCATGGAATTCATGCTCACAGATACTCCACAAACATTCACGGGTGCCTTTTCATGGTCACTTAGTCTTCGGTTCTGATTTTCCCTGTTTTGTTTTGTTTTGTTGTTATTGTGTTGTTTTTACTTCTCGATTCAGTTTGCCAATGACAGTGACAGTAAGCATTCACTGAGCTGTGAACCTGGCACTGTGCTAAGACTTCTGTCAAAATCAGATTTCTCTCTTGCAAGCCGTCAGAGTGAAATAAAATTGCTGGATCTGAAGGTCAAACTGACAGTAAACATCTTTGAAATTGTATTCCTTGAAAAGCGCCCATCTCTGGTGTTATTATCACATGTGCTATGATTCCACATGGGAGCTGCAGCATCAAGAGGCTAAGCAGCCCTGATTTTGAAACACACTACTGAGTTACAACATATGCTCCCACCTACTAGACCTTGTTCTTTACAATACATGTTGACAAGCCTTTTCAGTGTTTATCAACCTAAGGAATAAAAAGAATGCAGCAAATTATTTCCATTTGCATATTGGTGACCCCAGAGAGTTGATCATCTCTTTATTTATCTTTTGCTTTTTTTTTTTTTTTTTTTATTGTTGGTTGTTCAAAACATTACATAGTTCTTGATATATCATCTTTCACTGAGAGCCACAGCCAAGTAGGAATGACGCATGGCATTTTTGGTTGAAAGGTGACCCCAGCAAGCCATTGAGATGATAATGATTATGTTAAGATTTGCATTCAATTGGAGATTAGACCCCTGCTGTCCACCTAGGCCTGCTACTTTCTCCTGGAGAGTTCCCATTGGTTGGGGAAGTGTGGTAGGAGAGATTTCCGGAGGAGGGATTTCCTGTTGGTGTAGTGTGTCCCAAGAGAACCCCGCATGCATGGTTCATAGGGGAGAATTCCCAGGGAGCATGTGTGGAGTGTGCTGGTGGAGTTCAGAAATAAAGTTTGTTCCTGCTTCAGTGGCTTGTGATTTGTGCCCAGCCACACTGTGGCAATGTTTGGACATTTTCCTTCCCTACTCTGTGAATTATCTGTTTATAAATTTTGCCCATTCACCACTGGATTTTCTGATCCTGATCAATTTGAGGATGTTCTTCACACTTCAGAACTTATAACCTCATGGAGGCACAGCACTGGAAATGACATAATGTACCCCACAGGGGAATGCTCAGATATATTGTGACATCGACATGCTATTGAATATGGTATTGAAAAGCAGAATTAGGTTTATTTGTATTCCCTGGAGAGAAGTCCAGGACTTATTGTCAGTGAAAGGAAGCAAGTTGTAGGTAATTAATTCAGTTTGAAAGCATATTTTTTTATTTCTAGGAATTGGAAAATAAATCCTACTGTATGCTTTATGTATATGTGTGTATACATACATATATGTATATATATGTATATGCACATACATATACAATATATTTATATAAATCCACATTTAATAGGTCTGTTTGTAAGAACACAGAGAAAACTATGAAAGGCTACATGCCAAACTAATATCTCTAGAAGAAGAGAGTGCCTCTGTAGTCCATGATTTGCATCAATGAGCTTGTATTACTAATATTTTTCAAAACACATTAAAAACTATAAATTTTTAAATATAAACTCTGACCATCTTTACCCAATCTTTCTTATATAGGGGTGTTCAGTTCCTTTTTAAAAATGCCAGAAACTAGAAAATGTACAGGCCATTTAATTTTACCTGACCTTCAAAAAAATGTTTCAGTCTCCTTAAATTAATTTAGAGGACCCTATTCCTTTCTTCTGAGTTATCAATGACATACATGTAAACCAAATTTCTCTCCTTCACCCAAATTCAAGGACATATTAAACCTGAAATATGAGAATGTAAACCAAAGGAGGAGGAAAGGTAGAAGCCTTGGAGGGTGAGTCCTGTCACTCCCAAGCTGGCCTCTTCCTCACTGTGGTTACCTTGGCAAACTGAAGGGTGTCAAGTGCTCTGCAGAGCCACAGAAAACTTCCCCAGGTGAAAATGGTGGAAATGCACCTCAATTGCCCAACTGCCCACTGATTACAACAGCTGTTCCCTGAAAGGATTTTTTTTTTTCTGTTTAATGTCTTTTCTTCCTCCTTTTAACAAAGAAAATGCCTCTGGAAAAGGCATTAGGACTAGAACTGATGCACAATTGGCACCTTTCTGAGAATGAGTTTATTTGTTTCTCCCTCTGGAGTAGGGCTTAATAAGAGGGAAAGGGCCAAGAGTCACCTACATTGGAGGAAGTTATAAGGACAGCACTGGAGGAAGAAATCAGAAGCCACAAGCATGAACAGAAAACCTTGGCATAAATCACCCCTTTGCTTGAAGTGAAATAACTATCTTTGACACAAAACTGTCATGGTAGGAGTAGGAAAGGGAGAACATTAAAAAAGAGAGGGGCTCCTGTAATCTAACTCACTGATCCGCTGATAGGTTTGGATCCTGAATGGAGAACTGCTTACGTCAACAAAGGCCACCCTTCCCCTCAACGCCCCGCCATCTCAATCTTTCAGCACCATCTAACATCCTTTGTGGAAGAGATAAGGGATGTAAAAATAAATAAATATAATCCAGTCTCAATCAAGTTATTTAATACATCTCAACTACAGTTCTTTCAAGAGTAACATGAGTGTAAGAATACTTACCTTTCTGAATTAGGGGAGGATTAAATAAAATCATGCAGGTCTGACTCAATGTCTTGTCTTTGGTAGAAGTTAGCACCCTTCCTGTTGAGCAGGGGACAGTACAGTCAGGGCAATCCAAGGGAAGGTCAGGGCTTGGGACAGCTGCCCTGCTCTTCTATTAAGGCCAGAGTATTTTTGGATGCACAATCTATGTTAATTTGCGTAATCTCCCGCCTACTCTGTGCTTACTCTGGGGATAAATAGATGACTTCAGCCGTCAGCACTGTCACTCCATCCTTCTCCAGAGTGCCAGGAACATGTTTCAAAGAGAGAAGGGAAGAAAGAAAGGATGAAAGAAGGAGGGGTGCACAGGAGAAATTGGTCTGTCAAACAAGCTAGCAAGCTAATGTTCTTAGTAACTGGCACATTTACCCAACCAGGAACCCTGGGAATATGGCAGAAATTCAAAGGGTTCCACAGCACATCTAAATAGGAGCTCTCTCACTTCTCCTTGCCTTTTGCCATGAGTGTTGGGCTGGCATTAAACCAAGGAAATCCTATTTGTTTCCTGTTTAGATGGTCCTCCATCTTCCTCACCAAGTACCACGAGACCTTCATGTGGTGTAGAAGATATCGTTCCACACCCAGCTGGAGTTATTTTTCAAGATCCTCTATCCAGGCATGAGTCAGACTTAGAATGAAGAATTCATCCTACTGGGAGAAAAGATTACAAACTGAAAGAAGAAAGAACCACCATATCCTAAATAAATCTGCCCCCAAATCAACTTTTTTAATTGTCATTTGTTGGGTGAGGGGGTGAGTAGAAAAGAGAATTAGAAAGTTTAAACTAATTTTTCCTCTGTTTAGTTTGCTTCTTGTGCACTATCTAGATTTGATCCTCTCTTATACTGGTCCTTGCTCTTGCTGTGTCTCAGGTATCAGGGGCCAACCCCTGCCACTTCCAGCAACATGGAAGCATTCTGAAGCATAACACACACACAGGTGCCCCTCTTATTCTAGCATCCTCTGTTTTCTTTTGCAGCAAAAGTCTTAAGGAGTTGCCTACCCAGCCTGTCTCCTCTTCCCCATGTCTCATTTATTCTTGTTCTCTATGGTTTCATCCATCGTTTCCCAAAATCTCCTCCTAAACAAATCCAACAGTTTGGACATAACAACTCTCTCCTACCCTCCTCCATCCTGGGTACCACACTCATCTTATTTCTCTTCGCTTCTGCCCAGCCCAGCCAGCTTCTCCCCGCTGTGGATGTAACTTTCCTTTTCTCTTCTTCCATTCTTCAATTCTTTATTTTGTCCTGTCTTTGAGGCATGTTCTTGGAACTTACGGAAAGAAATGGAGTGATGGTATTCATGGCTGAAGTCATATATTTACCTCCAGGATAAATTCAGGATCCCCAGGGTTCTTTGCTCCTTCATGTTCATGTCAGGAGCCAGTCATGGGCTATGAGTGTGAGCTGAGAACATTTGAGCACATGAGGGGACTGGACTGACATTGCTTCTCTAACTGGGCTGTGCGACAACGTATGTCCTTTTGGCTTGCTCTGCTTTTGATCCCACATAGCACCTGAGATGGGCGTGGCTTTCCGAGATGTCAGTCAAATCTGCTGACCACAAGACATCACCAAGCAAACCCCTGAAACCTAATCCCTTGCCTTATTTGGGTTGAACTTTCTTGAATGTCTTTCTCCCCAGTAAATAGAGGGTTTTCAGGTGTCACTCTTTCCAACAGGCCCTTCAGGTTGAGAGCTGTCCCTGATTTCTGCAAGCAAAAGGTATTTCTGTGTGTTGCATGCTTCTTTCATCATTTTCTTAGTTATTGAGATAGTCAGCACCTGTGAACCCAGTTCAGGTCACCAGCCTGGCTAGCTGGTGATAATGAGACACCAAGATTTGTGATTTGTCCACAGCCACCCTTATGTTATAAGAGCTGCTGTTCCAGCCCTGGGCTCCCTATTTCAACCCTGGTATCATTTGTCCTGCACACACTGACCTCTTATCAGTCACCCAAAGAGCACTCTAGTGTGTGAGTTTCTGCACAACATGGAGCATGTTGGCATCCTGAGGCAGCTACCACCTGCCTATCCAAAGTGAAGCTAATCACCATTATCACAGAGCACAGAGGAGCACAGAACTGTTCATTCCTCTTTAAAGTGGGAATGACAGTGTATTGCAGGACTCTTCTTTATATTTCTATTTTAGTAAGCTTTTTCACTGCTGTGACTAAAAGATCTGACAAGAACAATTTTAGGGGAGGAAAAGTTTATTTAGGGGCTCACAGTTTCAGAGTTCTCAGTCCATAGGCAGCCAGCTCCATTCCTCAGGGCTTGAGGTGAGGCAGAACATCATGGCGGGAAAATGTGGCAGAAGGAAGCAGTTTGCATGATGATCAGGAAGCAGAGAAAGGGATACTCCATTCATCAGATACAAAATATATACCCAAAAGGCATGCCCCCCAATGCCCTACCTTCTCCAGCCATACCCTACCTGCCTTCAGTTACCACTCAGTTAATCCCATCAAGAAATTCATTCACTGATTTATTTGGTTAAGATTCTCATAACCCAACATTTCTCCTCTAAATCTTGCATTGTCTCAAACATGAGCTTTTGGCAACACCTCATATCCAAACCACAACCCCTTCCAAAACAATATAAACATGTTTAATGGTCTGCAGGCCCCAATTTTAAATAAATTACCAAGTTTCAAACTCTGCAAAGACTTTTAAAAGTAGATATTCACTTCAATTGCTAGATGAACATTAATTTGAATTACAATATGCTCTTGAGTTTCTAGAGTGATTAACCCCTGCAGATTCTCTGCAGTCCTTCTCTGTCCTGAGCAATGAGTCCTGGGTTGGTGCAGGTGAGGAAGAACCCATGTCTGGCTGAAATTAAGCACCAGTGATCTAGAAAAGAGTTCACCACTAAGTGAGAATATATATTTTTGTGTGCCACTTTTTAGGCAACCACAATCCAATTGCAAGGGATGAAAAATATTTCAAATACATATATTAAATTAATTTGTTTTTTAAAATTTCATTTAAAAGTTTTTAGCATCATATTATTCTAATAATTTTGAATTACCATTTCTCATGGTCCTGAGAGAAAAACCTGATCGAAGATAGAATGATTTCAGCCAAATTAGGGTCCAAGATTTGCTTGAAGAGCATTCTTGGGCTTGTTGCCTCTGATTCATCACATGTAAAATGGGGATAACAGGATTCCTAATTCATAGAGTTGTTATTGTGAGGACCAAATAAGATCAAATAAGTGGTTGAAAGAGTGCCTGGTATACAGTAATCATTCCATAACTCTCACCCATTAATATTACTCTGTTATTGTTTTATTTTTCTTATCATCGGATTTTCCACATCTTTGCTTCCCCATAATAGCAAAAAATAGCAAAAAAATACATTTTAAAAATATATTTTCTGCATGTGGGATCCACTCGGAGGACAGACATGCATATACCTTCTCCCAGTTATTTTCTCCTTTAAGACTATTCAAAGCAAATCATTTCTCTTTCTTCATTCACACCCTGAACAAAAACATTATTTAAGAAGGCTCTTGGAGAGAGTCCCGGATGGTGTTCCCAGTTGCACCCCTGCCTTCCTATGTCATTTTGTTCAAGTCATGTCTCTAATCTTCTGCCGCCAGAATATTTCATGATCCCTGGCAGTCAAGCAAAAAGTTGAGAGTGATTACAGGAGAGAAGCCCTGTCAAATGATTTGGGTCTTTGTTTGAGAGGTAGTGGGTCTAAAACTTGGTTTTACTCTTATTTTGTGCCCTGAGGGTAGAAAGGGGTAAGGGAGCTAAGCATTCTTTGCCCAGATGTCTCCAATCAGGATTAGGTTCCCTGAGTCATTTCTAAGATAAAATCTAGATTGCCTTACTCACACACCTTGAGATAAGAGGGAATATCTGTAAAACAATAGAAATTTTGGAGCTGGTTCCCTGATGTGGTCATTTATGTGACAAATTTCCCCCTCCTCCCTATATTTTTCTCCCCATGATTTCCTCTCAGGAAAGCAATATTTTCAGTTGTTCTGGACAGATAGCAGCTTGACTGATCGACTGACAGATGATAGACTCTCATTAAAGGATCATTAATGCCACATATTAGTAAATTCATTTTCACCCTTAATAGAAATAAAAAAAATTTTCATTTGCTAATGAAAGAAATTTTGTAGACATAAATTTTAGACATACTATAGGAAGCCTCTGTACCTCCAACATAACCATAATCAATACAGTTCAAAAAAGCTTTTTTAGGTATCTTTATCAGAGCAGGATTTTTATTCCAAATAGTCTAACTGTATGGCCTGTATTTTAAAACTCTGCTATACTATGTGCTATTCTGGTAGATGACAGCTGTCACCTCTTTGTCAATGCCTTATAATTCTCTAGCTGTAGCTACAAACTCTCTCAAGCCCCAGGAACATATTCCTAATGAACTAAAAAGTATCTTTACTTTAGCATCTGACTACATATCACAAACTAAACTGCTAATCAATCACTTTTGCCCCCATGTTTCCATGACACTCGGAATAGATCGCCATTATGGTCCTTGTCACACTACAGTTTAACAAGCTACCTATGTATCAATCCTACTTTCTCAAATGTGAGTTCCCACAAGACAGAGATCTTTGGAAAAGATCTGTTTAGCGCACAATCACTTTGACAAATAGGTATTGAAGGTGATTATCAGATGTGGTAACTGCTTTTATGACTAAGGTTAATCAGAACTAGGACTATCAAACAAAAAGTGGGGAGACCCTGACTATGTTGGGGTAAGAAAAGGATAAAAAAGTTCAAAGGGCAGAGGACAGAGGACAGAAGAAATCCTGTGAAGCTCCAAAGTGTCCCTGACTGCCTTTGCCACTTACATGACAGTTCTCTTACCAATGGATTTTGCCACTGTGGGGGAATTTCATGTTCAAAGTCTCAGGGAAACCTGATACTTCTTCCTTTTCAAGAGGGTCAAATGTCAAGCAATCACAGAGGGTGGATCAGATTCATAAAACTTCACCAAGATGGTTTGGTCCCTTGGAGTCTCATTCCAGTCAAAAACATCCTAGCATGTTGAGGAAATCAAGGCTGTCACCTCCCAGAGCTGTGAAACTC